TACTCTTACATGTTGTTCCCATGGGACTCAGCAGCACGCACACATCCACACATACAAAATAATCAGCATAAAACAGTAGTGAGCCAGGGTCTTGCAGGAATGCTCACTCTCAGAAAAGCAGCATGTGAGAACTAAGCTCCTTGGCCTAGTTTTTCTCGGGAGTTGAGCTGTATGGGAAACAGACCCCTCTATCCTTAGCAACAGGCCTATTTGAGACAAGTGCTCTATTCCACTTCTATTTTAGGAAGATTCTTTATGGGATCTGGTGGCTGCTTTTAAAGTGACCAAGGAAAGAAACTAGGGCTTTACCTTCTCCTTGCATAGACTTTTAATAGCTCTTAAGGCCATGGGGTCGAGTTAAGTGAGTTAAGTTTTTCTCTTCCTACTGCAGGAAAATGTATTGCTAATACTGTGGTCTGAAAATGAACTCTGATGTGATAGTTACTTTGGCAGAAAACAAATCTTGGTTTGAAATGCCAATGCTTTAAGCTGCTGCTAGAGTAGGCTCATCTAGGTCTTTCAATATTTCAGAAACTATGAACTGCCATCTGCCGCAGTAACAACTGTTTCCCAGATTGGATCACCTACGGAGTGATGGAGGATTGATTAGTCCCTACTGAATTTCTTCCAACATTTGGGACTATTTTTTTTGTTTTATATTACATAGTACTTATTTGTGTATAACAGACACATGGGAGTCAGAAGACAATTTTAAAAATTTTTTTTCTTTTTCTTTCCTTATTTGTTTGTTTGTTTGTTCATGGTAAGATCTATGTATCCCTGGCTAGCTTTGACCTCACTATGTAGACCAGGCTGGCCTCAGACTCACAAAGATCCACCTGCCTGTGCCTCTCAAATACTGAGATTAAAGATGTGCACTGTGCTGGGCATTGGTGGTGCACGCTTTTAATCCCAGCACTCAGGAGGCAGAGGCAGGTGAATCTCTGTGAGTTTGAGGCCAGGCCAGCCTGGTCTACAGAGTGAGTTCCAGGATAGGCTCCAAAGCTACACAGAGAAACCCTGTCTTGAAAAACCAAAAAAAAAAAAAAAAAAAAAAAAAAAAAAGATGTACACTGCACTACCGTGGAGTTGGCACACACCTTTAATCCCAACGCTTGGGAAGTAGAGGTAAGCGGCTCTCTAATTTCTGATTTCGAGGCCAGCCTGGTCTACAGAGTGCGTTCCAGGACAGCCAAGGCTACATAAAGAAACCCTGTCCAAAAGGAAAAAAAAAAAACAAGGGAAGGAAGATGCACACTACCAGAAGACATCTAGCTGAAGTAAGTTCTCTATGTAGCATGTGGGTCCTGGGAACAGAACTCAGGTCAAAACAGTTTTGATGTAGATGCCATTACTTACTGAGCTGCCCAACTGTGTTTTATTCCAGTTAGACTCCTTTATTGTTTCAGAGAATGCACAGTCAGTGAACCCTACAATTCTCCTGATTCATATCTGTACAGAAGCTCATTCCAAATGCACTACATATTAAAATAACCTTTGTGGAAATCCTCTTTGTACACAGGATCATCGCTCCCCTTTCCCCTAGTAGGTACACTGCACATTATAACAGAACAGCAGGTAATAATAGCAGGGCAGTAAAGTAGAAAGTGTTAGAAACACAGTGGCTGAATTCACATCTACAAAGGTCTTTGTGGCTCCGTAGAAGAAGCAGTGGGTCTGAGGCGGCTTCTGCTCGTGTGCTGTCTAAACTGCTTCAGAGTTCTGCAACCCAGGCTGAGTGGTCATGCTCCACTGACTTCTCTCATCAAGTTACCATTGCCAAATTCTGTAGCAGATAGGCAATGCAAAGAAAACATTTAAAAGCTTTAGGCCTTGTCTGAGCTTCACAAGGAAGGAAAGAACAAATCCAGGAATTGTTACTTCAGGGACCAATTTGTACAGAGGAACATACCTTTGAGGTTTGCCAACTTTTTGAAGAATAAAACTCCAGTCTTTCAGAAAACCCCCAACAATGGAAAGAATGAAAGAATTTTCATAGTGAAATTTGAATACTCAGGGGTTCATGCTACACAGGAATTCAGTGAGTGCCTGTGACATCATCATGATATCAAGATGGAGTGCAAAGTCACCCAGTGTATGACCTGGTCTAGGCTAGAGTTTTTTCCTGGGTGAGAGGGAAAACCTCCCACTCAACATACACCTGTGCATGTAGAAATGTTTTTTCTTGGTTGTCGTTGGTGGTGCACACCTTTAATCCCAGCACTGGGGAGGCAGAGGCAGGCGGATCTCTGTGAGTTCCAGGCCAACCTGGTCTACAGAGCCAGTTCCAGCACAGGCTCCAAAACAATACAGAGAAACCCTGTCTTGGAAAAAACAAAAAACAACAAAAAAAGAGATGTTTCTTCTCTGTTTTGGGATATGCAAATCACTGAAAAACAATAAGTTATTTTGCATATAGGCTACCTTGTATTTTCTCAACAATGTACGAGGGCCCAGCCCCAGTTTCTTAAACTCTTCACCAACATCTCTTTCCTTCTCTTTTTCCTTCTTTCCTCATAGACAATCCAGTAGATATGAAGTAGTGCTCCATTTTGATTTGTATTTCCTCAAAGTTTAGTGATAAATTTTTATATTTTGTTTTTCAAGACAGGATTTCTCTGTGTAACAACAGTCCTGGCTGTCCTGGAACTCACACTGTAGACCACGCTAGTCTTGAACTCACAAAGCCTGCCTCTGCCTCCTGAGTGCTGGGATTAAAGGTGTGCATTACCACAAAAAACTGATTAGTGATATTTTCAATATTGATTCTTCCATTTTATTTTATTGAAACTTTATTATACTGGGTGATGGTGGCATGCGCCTTTAATCCCGACACTTGGCAGGGCAGAGGTATCTCTGTGCCTTTATTACAAAGAACCTACAAATAAAAGATATTATGCAGTGAAGTTAACCAGACCCAAAGTCTACCCCTCTCAGTGAATGTCTATACAGCGAGAGAAGCCATTCTGAAGCTGAGGAGTTTCACATTGCCTTGTGTGACCTGAGTCATCCCTGGAACCCACATGGTAGGGAGGAACTGACTACACACGTTATCCTCTCACCTCCACACGTGTGCCTTGTCACATACATCTCCTGCCATCCCAGATAAATGAATAAGTAAGTAAATAGTAAAAAATTCAAATAGAGTAAGTGTATTGTATCATCAGAGACTCATAAATGGCATATGATGGGCCTATGTTGCATTGGGGATAGAATCTCAACATGACTATTGCATTTGAGATAGTGTTTAAAACTACATCAAGGGGCTAGAGAGATGGCTCAGTGGTTCAGAGCATGTACTTGCAGAGGGCCCAAGTTTAATTCCTAGTGTTCACATTAGGTAGCTTATACCTGCCTGTAACAGCAGCTCCAACAGCATTGAAAACCTTTGGCCTCTGTGGGCACCTGCAGTCATATGTATGTGTATGTGTACACACACACACACACACACACACACACACACACACACACACACACACACACAATAAAATTTTAAAACTATACTAAGGATGCGATTTCACCATTATTAGTTCCTTTGCAGTTTAGACCATGACCTAGACACTAACTTTCTGCCCTGAGTGTAAAACATGTGTTGGGACTGTGGGAAGCTGTTCTTTGCCTGATAGCTTCATAAATTTAGGATACAACATTATCATTTTAGACTCCATTTGCTGGAAATGTGGTCTTTCCCATTCTGTATCCTGGCTCATTTGCTTTATTTTTTATTTTCCTTGTGTAAGATGACAATGGTACTGCCATAAACTTCATGGGTAGACTAACCCTTTCATAACTTTAAAGGCCTCTCTTCTCCACCACACCTTGTCAGAGGTTCTCAGCTGGCCTTGTAGTGTGTTAAAAGTTGATTTCTGTGGTAGTTTTCCATGAGAAGAGTATTTAATCTGGCTTTTCATCATAGCACTGTTAATATTAGAAAGGCTGATTTTATCCTAAATGGTAGCATACTCTTAAAGACAGTAGACAGTCTCCTCTGAGGGGAGCTCGTCTGTGAGAAGGGAAATGGACTAGATGGCTCTTGAAATGTTTTCTTGTTCAGTTCAGTGATCCATATCCTTCTTTTAGATGGCCATTAAATGAAAAGTGGAATTTGGAATTACTAATGTCCCCTTATTGTTTGCTGCCTTCAGTTTAGTGTCCATTACCACAAAAATGAACATGCTTTACATTTGTCATTTTCCTGTTAGGGAATTAGTAGTTTCTGGAGATGGAAGACTGCCCTTGGTGGTGACGATTACTGGATAATTTCCTATTCTCCTATGGAACTTCCATTTTTAGATTACACTGGTCTCTACAGCCTCTGTTTCTTTGGCAGGAAAACCCAAAGGCAACAAAGTACATTTTTTCCTGCTATCCCTGGCCCAGTTTAAACAATGACTCACATGGGCCCTGGGGCTTTGCTTCACATTTTCATTTAGGGGCCACTTCTACCCTTGCTCTAATTAGTCTCTAGCGTTCCTTTGGAATCCTTCCTATCCTTTGACACACAGGATGTGCTTCTGTGGTTATTGTTGGGGTACACACAGTACAGTACTACCCCTAAGACAGACAGATAATCCAGGTCTGTCCTCAGCCATGTCATCCTTGTAGCAGCCAGTATAGGTTGGGCTAGTATTGAAGGATGTCTTTAGGGAAGTGAGGCCTGCTCAAGGCATTTGCAATGTCAGGTGAAGTGAAGGAGAAGTATTCCTCCGGAAGATACAAGTAGCAGTTTCATCCAGGTAAAGACAAAAATGCTTTATTAACCTTAAAATTTCCTGGCAGGCACATGGCAGAGATGGACATGACCTTTCAGAGGTGCATGATTGTACGAAGGCTTCTTTTTAGAAGAACTTCATCTAGTCTATAGTTGATAATTTTTCTAGTGGAAAAAACAGATACCCACTCGGTTGTTCACCAGTAGTTCTCTCTGGTTTTACATTTCACTCTGGTTCCAACCTTCTGAATTTCATCTAGTGATGAATTCTTCATTTTTCTCTTTTCAGTTTTAACAGTGTATGCCAAGGAACTCACATTCTCTTTCGGGAATTCAGCTTTATACAAGCCACACCTCACAATAGGGCATCATTTTTACGGGCCTTCTGGAGATGCTTCCGAACTGTAGGCAAAAACGGTGGTAAGTCTAATTAACTGTTTTCCCCCATTTCCTACCCTCCCCTTTTCTATCCTTTCCAAACATTTTACTTTCTAAAAAATAATATTTATGGCGGGGTAGTGTTGGCTCATGCCTTTAATCCTAGCACTTAGGAGGCAGAGGCAGAGGCAGTTGGATCTCTGTGAGTTTAAGGCCAGCCTGGTCTACAGAGTGAGTTCCAGAATAGCCAGGACTGCTTCACAGAGAGACCCTGTCTCAAAACAAACAAACAAAATTATGTATTGTATTTATGTGTGTATGTAGGTTTCAAAATTTAAGGTGTTTGGAATGTACATTTGGAGGTTATAGTACGCATTTGGAGATAACAGTGAACATTTGGAGTTGTTTCTCTTCTACCATTTGGGTTCTGGGGATTGAACTCAGGTCATCAGGCTTGTTAGCACGTGCCTTTTTACCTACTGGTCCAAATTGCCAGCCCACATCTGTTTTTATTATGGTCCTATAAATACGGCTTGACTGTAGGCTTTGGAATACCTTATTTTGATAAGATGACTATCCTGTGTCAGAAATATAATTAGCTATCATCACAATGACACCCATTAATAACCAAGTACAGTTCTGAACACATGAGGTATAATAACTTGCTTAACCTTCACAGCTGCTCTCCCTGCTGGCTGCTGTAAATCCATCTTACAAATAATGAAACAGGACCAGAGAGCTAAGTAACTTGGAAGGTTACATAGCAAATGACAGGCCCAGATTAATACCCTTGCAACCTGTCTCCAAAGCTCTTGCTCTTGGCAAATATTATATACTGTGTAATAAGAGGAATAGAGTAAAACAGAAAGACTGCATTCTTCACAGTTTCAAGCTTTGTGGCAGGTTCCTATTACATAGGCACCATTTCTACAACAGTAGTGCTCTCTCTCTCTCTCTCTCTCTCTCTCTCTCTCTCTCTCTCTCGCATCTTCTCAATATGTCTAACTCTTCCATCATCACTATTTTGTAGTGGTTCTGCTCAGCGATCTTTGGTCGCACTGTGCTTTGTTGGGGCCATGCCTGATGTCTGTAGAAGACACTGGACTTCACACTTGAGTGTTGCACATCCCATCTCTCTCCCTCTCCTTGGGCCCCACTCTACTTCAAGACAGAATATTGAAATTAGGAAATTGCTAACCCTATGGTGGTCTCAAAGTGTGCAAGAGAAAAAATTGAGTTAATCACTTGAAATCAGAACCTAGAAATGCTTAATTTTAGAGACGAAGGCATGTCAAAACCTGAGGAAGCCAAAAGCAAGGCTTCTTCTATCAACCAGCCGATTGGGAATGTAAAGGAAACATCTTGAAGAAAATGTTCCTGAGGGGAAAAACTGTTGAGCTGGACACAGTGGCACATACCTGTAATCCCAGTACTTAGGAGGTTGAGATAGAAAGACCATGAGTTCAAGAGTAACCTGTGCTATATAGCAAGATATCAAAACACATATGGGGGAGAGGAGGCTGAGAATTAACTCAGTGGTTAAGAGCTCTTGTTGCACTTGCAGAAAACCCGAGTTCAGTACCAAGCATCCACATGGCGGCTCATCATGTTAGAGTCAGTGAGTGGGCACAGTGTTCAGCTGTTTTCTTTGAGTTTACAAGCTCCCACTCCCGTGCTGTTCTGAACCGTTCTCTGCTTCTTTATGTATGGCCACTGAAACCTTTAAAAAGTGATCCAGTACCAAATTAGATCATTTCAACCATCCTAACAAACAGATGATGTGGGTATTATTTTGCCTACTTTGTAACTAATCAAATTGCTTAACTTGGGTGACTCCCTGTAGAGAAGTTCACATTCGTGCTCTCAGATGTGTCTTTCTTTCTGGGTACCTCTCATTCTCTCTTATGCTTCATGCTTAGGCCTATATTAAATTAAAATCATTAATAAAAATCTGGACTCTAAGGAAGAAAGGGAATTAAATAAATAAGTGGAAATTGTTTAACTTGGAGGAGGGTTGCACAGTTGGCTCCCTGTCAAGCTGCAGTCGACCTAGATTCGCTGATGTGCTCACTCAGTGCTTTTTCAACTGTTTTTACTTTGATTGCTGCTTCATTGACATGTAACCCTAGAGATCGCTCTATCTATTTTCTTGTCACACAAGAAGTATCTCGTGTATGGGCAATAGTATCTGTCCCTTTACAGAATGAAAGCGAACTAGTCCACTAGCCTCCATGTAAACACCCACACACTGTGTGTAAGTGAAGTCTGTACTATCACAGACTCTGTCTTTGCCAATCCTTTCTTAGTCCCTTGGTCATTCATCAGAGACTCATTGAGGATCTGGTATGCTGAAGAATGTTGGATGGTTTTGGTGGTATGGCATATGGAGATAACTATGGAAAACAGCCCAAATACCCTTATTTTTTCCTGATTTAGAAGTAGGGCCTCTTCAAGAAGTCACAAGGGATTCATATAGCATTTGAACTCTAAGCAGATGTGGATTTCTTTATCTTTCTAATCACAGCTGCCAGTGATATGTCCAACTGCTGAGGAAAGCACATCCCAAATTCTTTCTGATGCTCTCGGACCATAAACAAGACTTAGATTTCAGACTGGACACTCATTTCTAGGCTTCTCAGTTATGCAGCTTCTGATTTCTTAAAGTCCAGCCGCAAAGTTTGTGTATAGGTGAGCCTAAAATCTTTCTTGAAACACTTGTAATACCATCTCGGCTTCTTCCAGGAAACTTTGGAACACCTTCCAGAGTGTGTCAGTTCCTGGTTTTAATCTGGAATGAGCAAAAGCTCTTGGAGGCAGAGCTTGGAGGGAAAAGATTTATTAACCCCTACCCCAGTTAAATGCTGGGCTCTGATTCAGCTGAGCTGCACTATGCTCGTCTTCTGTAGATAATTCCCTGAAAGCATCCCATTCGTATTTTAGCATTAACAGGAAGAGGCTAAACCTTCTGGGAGGTAGGAAGGAGGCTGGAGTTCCAGCGCAGCAGTTCTAAACGAAGCCACCTGTAGAAAGAAACTAAGGGAGCTGACTCCTCCGGCCAGAAACATTTTCTTCCAGTTTTTAGCAAGTACAGAGATTCAATGTCATTTCTGCACGACTGAGTTCTGAATGATGCTAATTTCCCTGTGACTGAGTTTCAGATAATCTCATGAACACTACAGTAAGCCTCTTGCTATCTGGGCAACTTTAGACTTTTGGAAGCAGAAAGATCTATTCAAATGTAAAAGACCTTTAAAATTCATCTCCTTGCTTTGCTATTTCTTTCACTGTGGAGAGATTAATCTGAATTTTCTGAGCCTGGAAAAGACTGAAATTCGTTTGAAGTTAATCTTTGCTTCTGTTTGGGAGTATCAGTCCAAAGAGCTTTTGTTCAGTTTCTTTCAATAATATAGCTAAAGGCTTTGTTCTTTACAAGCAGAAATACATATTTGACATATATTTTCAGTTGATAAAATAACGGTAGGTACTAAGAAGTGTACTAAGAATCATGACACAATTACTGAAACAACTGTTGTCATACACTGATTGCCAGCCAATGGTGACTGTGAGATCCAAGAAGCAGTTGACAAGGCTGGCCTCCAACTCACAGAAATCTTCAAAGGCGTGCACCATCACCACATGTCATTTCCTTTCCTCTTCTTTCATTCTCTTTTACTTTATTATTTATGAACTTATTCATTTATTTATTTTGAGACAGGATCATAGTAGCCTTTGTTGTTTTGAGAAGGGGCCTCAAGTATCCCAGGCTAGTTTCAAAGTTCCTATGTAGCCAAAGATGACCATAAACTCCAATCCTACCTCTGCCTCTCAAGTTCTAGGATTACAGGAGAGAGATATGCAAATAGCATGGCAGTGTTCTGGAGTTTCAGAGGTACAGATTGTAGCTTAGGGAGGCCTAGGTGGCTAGACTTTGCAGACTAGAATAACACTGAGACAGGTTGTTCAGGGATATGAAAATCTCTAGCTACAAATTTTGCACATTTTATGAGTTTAGAGAGAGACCAGAAAACAGCAGGTTAGACATTCCAGTCAGATGGGAAGACCTCAAAATATGCCTGGTTTTTAATGGGTAAGAATCTCAGCAGTTTAAAAGCAGAGTACTATGGAGTGTGGTGTAGTTCATTGGTTTAGTATATGCCTAGCATGCACAAGGCCCTGGGTTCAATTCCAGCTCTGAAAACCAAAAAGCAGCAACACATTGATCTGACCTGTAAGAAACTTAACTGTATACATACCATGTACAGTCGATGCTATTTTGAGGGACTGCTTGAGAGGTGGCTCAGTGGTTGAGAACACTATAGGTGTCACTCTACAAGAGGATCTGAGTCCAATTATCAGCACCTATGCATGTTAGGCAGCCCATTACGGCCTGTAATTCCAGCTCCATTGCAATCCATCACTTCTGGCCTCCAAGGGCACCTTGCATGCATATACTCATACCCCCCCACATATATACATATAAAAATAAAAACATATCTTAAAAAATGCCTGAGACTAGTGTTAACCCACCTTCAATCTCTTTTCTTTAAGTTAGGGTCACTAATTCAACCTGGGTTTTGTTGGCTGCTTTTTGAGAAAGGGTCTCTTGTAGCTCATCTGACCTTGAACTGAGTAGGTAGCCAAGGATGATCCTTCTATCTCTGGCTCTTCAGTGATGGGATCTCAGGCATGCACCACCAAGCACGTTAAGCAGTGCTGAGGATAAACCCAGGGTCTTGTGACTGCTAGGCAAGCTCTCTATCAACTTGAGATGCACCCTCAGCCCTGGGAAATCTGAGGATTAGACTTGGTGATCTAAGCAGTTCTCAAAAGGACAAACACTGTGTGATTCTCAGTACAACTCCTTACATGATGTACTGGCAAATGGGAATTTTGAAAGCATGAGGATGTGAAATGATTCCTTTCGAAAAGGATAGAAAGTTCATTCTGACTGGGGTTTAACCTGTAAGAGGAAATCTTCATTGCAGATTGAAAGGAAATAATGCTGAATGCTTATTACGTGTCAGCCAGAGAAAACTGTTGTACATATATCCAGTTAATCATCAAAGCAAACACAAGTCAGTATGAGTACTACCCCTTTGCACATTAAGAAAGAGGCTTTTCTCGCCAAGATGATGCTGAAAGCAAAGAAGAAAGCTCCTGCCCCTCCCAAAACCGAAGCCAAAGCGAAGGCCTTGAAAGCCAAGAAGCCAGTGCTGAAAGGCATCCACAGCCACAAAAAGATCAGCACGTCACCTACCTTCCTGAGGCCCAAGACCCTGCAGCTCCAGAGGCAGCCCAAACACCCCCAGAAGAGCGCACCCAGGAGAAACCACTATGCCATCATCAAATTCCCCGTGACCACTGAGTCAGCCATGAAGAAGATAGAAGACAACAACACGCATGTGTTCATTGTGGACGTCAAGGTCAACAAGCACCAGATCAAACAGGCTGTGAAGAAGCTCTGTGACATTGATATGGCCAAAGTCAACACCTTCATAAGGCCTGACGGAGAGTAGAAGGCGTACACACAGTTGGCTCCTGATCATGATGCTCTGGATGTTGCCAACAAAATTGGGATCATCTAAATTGAGTCCAGCTGGCTAATTCCAAATACACACTTTTTCACCATAAAAAAATAAAATAAAAAGAAGAAACTGAAAGAGGCCTGGCGTTGGTGGCGCACACCTTTAATCCCAGCCCTCAGAAGGCAGAGACAGGCGGATCTCTGTGAGTTCGAGGCCAGCCTGGTCTACAGAGCGAGTTCCAGGACAGGCTCCAAAACAATATAGAGAAAACCTGTCTTGAAAAACCAAAACCAAAGCCAAAGCAAAAAAAGATACTGAAAGAGAATCAAAAGCACATTCTCAAAGGTTTTAAAAATTAACTATTATCATTATTAGTTCATGTATGTGCATGAACACCCATGTGCACAAGTGCTGGGTGGAGATCAAAAGAAAACTTTGTGAGTCAGTTCTCTCCTTACACGTTTATGTAGATTCCAGGGATCTATCTCAGGCAAGTGCCAATGAGCCATCTTGCTGGCTGGCCACAAAGCTTTCTAAGCAGCGCGACTCATGTTCACAAAGGCCATGTTTGTAACACTCGCTGGACTTCCTAAGTGCCTATGACCCAGTTATGTGGATTTCATGCATCCTAAAAAGAAATGCGTGCTTTCTCCTACAGTTGGTTGAACCCTATCACTGACAAGTGTAGGAAAGAGTGCCAGGCAGTTAACTAAGGCCAGAAATGACTGTGGATCTGGAGAGCTGTTTAAGGAGAAGTCTTGACAAGATGTGCTGATTGATTAGGTGTGGGGTGTGGGAAAGAGGTAAGAATGAATGCCAGGGACTGGGGAGAGAGACGGCTCAGAGGTAAAGAGCATTGGTGCTCTTCCAGAGGACCTAAATTCAGTTCCTAGCAGCCATATCAGGTGGATCACCACCACCTGTGACTCCAGCTCCAGGAGATCAGACACCCTCCCCCAGCTTCCACAGGCACTGTACTCACACACACACACACACACACACACACACACACACACACACACACACACACACACATACACACACAAATATGTCTTAAAACCATGAACAAATGCCAGGATCTAAAACATTGCCAGTTACCTCCTAGGAGGTAGAGGTAGGATAGAAGTTCAAGGCTAGCCTGGGCTTCATAAGACCCAGTCTCAAGTTAAAAAAAAAAATACATATATATATATCCAGTTTTATTCCTTCCTTTTACCTTTCTCTTCCCCATTGTCACTATGCATTTCATCTTGAACTTTGTCTTCATGGTCTAGGTGGATTCGGTCTGTAAACATTTGTTTATTACAGTATTGAGGCAGAAATTCTTATTCTCATGTAGTCTGTGGTCTTGTAATCAGAGACTTAACAAAAATCCAACTTTTAGACTTTAAACTCTAGGAATCAGAATTTCTCATTTGAATTGCATGGTTTTTAAAATTCTGCCAAGTTTTCTAAAATATTCACCATTGTGCTGGGTGGTGAGAGGGGACGTACAGACGATGAGCTCAGCTAAAGCTCTGTCCTGACTTTCCTTGACTGCTCTCCAGGCAGCAGCCCCTACCCTCATTTCCCCAGAATGAAGGGAGACAGCAGATACAGACAGCAAATTCCTGAGATCCTACTCACTATTTCCCCTTCTAGGTAGTCCTCACGTTTTCTCTCCTTTCTCATTTTCATTTCTTTAGAAATTTTGCTCTAGGAAAGAAAATTGACACTGTCTTTCGCCTCGAATTTTCACCTCCCTGCCTTCAATAACTTAGCTTTTCCCTTATTTAATTCCTCCATTTCCGTTATTTGGGTCTGCCACACATGTCACGCAAACATTCCTGGAATGCTTTTGTCACGTCTCCTCTCCCACTCAAACCTCCTCACCCCCAGATCACAAGACCCTGGAATTGCTGAGCTTTATTCTTTCAGGTATGGCTTTAAAGATCAGCTCCCTGATGGACCTTTGCTAGGCCACCCTTCCTTGTTGGAGGAAGTGTGTCACTGCGGGGGTGACTTTAAGTTCTTTTGCTCAAGCTTCCTTCAGTGTGACAGTCAACTTCTTGTTGCCTCTGAGTCAAAATGCAGGACTTTCAGCTCGAGCACCACATCTGCCTGAAGGTTGCCATGCTCCCCTTCATGATCTTAATGGACTGAATCTCTGAAGCCGTAAGCAAGCCACCTTCAATTAAATGTTTTCTTTATAAGAGTTGTCATGGTCATGGCGTCTCTTCACAACAACCTTACACATAAAATTTCAAGTGCAACTTCACTTAAAGAATGGAGAACCCTCCCAACACCGTGCCCACATTCCTTCAGGGGGACAGATCATCAGGGTGGAGCTGCAGCTGCTCCAGTTAGGCAGGGCATGTGGCCGCAGACTTACCGCACCCCTAGCTGCCCAGCTTCACCTCTTCATGATTCCTGCTTGGCCTCTCTGAGTTTGCTAGTGTTGCCAGAGCTTTTTGGCCCCTGCATAATCACTGAAAGGCAGAGTTATACTCTCAGTTCAGAAGATGGGGAACCAAAAGCTATTTCTCAACTAGATTCTCATTTCTTTTTCTCCTTGTTAATATGGGGTCTTATAAAGCATTATCAAAAGATATCTTAGAAATAATTGCACCTCGAACTTAGGGCTAGTGCTTTTTAAAGAAGGGAGGAGGGTGTGCATGTGTATGAGGAGGTGTACATGCATGTGTGTACGTGTGTACACATGGAGGTCAGAGGACAACCTCAAGTGTTGTTGCTCAAGCACCTTTTGTTTCAGACATAGTCTCTGAAGTAGGCTAGGCTAGCTGGCCAGCATCCACCTGTCTCCATCTCCTATTGCTGAGATTGCAAGTCATACCATATACCTGGCTTTTTTTTTTTTTTTTGATGTGGGGTCTGGGGATTCAGACAGACTTATATCCTCATACTTGCAGCCATCCCAACCCTTATTTTTTCTGTTTTTTAAGATTTATTTATGTATTTATTTCTTTTTGTTTTATTGAGACAGGGTTTCTCTGTGGAGCTTTGTAGACCAGGGAGGCCTCCCTCGAACTCACAGAGATCGGCCTGCCTCTGCTCCCAAGTGCAGGGATTATAGGCATGTGCCACTATCGCCCAGAAAGATTTTTGTTTCTTTGTGTGTGTGTGTGTGTGTGTGTGTGTGTGTGTGTGTGTGTGTGTGTCATTCTGAAGAGGACACCAGATCCTGTACAGCTGGGGTTATAAGAGGTTGTGAGCTACCTGACATGGCTACTGCCTGAACGTGGGTCTTGTGGAAGAACAGCAAGTACTCTTAACCACTGAACCATCTCTCCAGACCCATGGTTTTATTTTCACTGTGGCAAAATATATATAATATTTGTTACATTAACTATTGTTTTATATCTAGCTCTGTGACATTGAGCATATTCTCACTGTTTTGTTACCACCATCCAACTCTAGAACTCTTTTCAAGTAAAAAACTGAAACTGTACTCACTAAACAATGACTTCATTTCTCCTTCCTAACCCATCTTTATACTTCATTCCTAACCTATTTGACTGTCCTAGTATTGTACAACAATTTCCCTTTCATGGCTTTTTTTTTTTTCATTTAGCCTTATGGTTTCAAATTCACTTGTGTTGTAATGTGTTTCAGAATTTAATTATTTTGATGGCTGAACAGTATTCCACTATGGATAAACACCATATTTTGTTTATCTGTGGTTCTTGTTAACAGACACTTAGATGCTCCTGCATTTCCACTCATATGGGTAATACTACTAAGCACACAGGCACAGATATCTTGGTTGAGTCCTTGCTTTTGGTTCTTCTAGACATGTAAGTAGGAGCTAAATTACTGCTTAATTTTGGTAACAGTAATTATTTTGAGTAGCTGCTTTACTTGTTTCTATAAAGGCTGCTAGTGTTGCATTTTTCATTTTTTAACTAGCAATGCAGGAGGCTCCAGTTTGTTCATATCCTGTTTGTGTGTACATGTGTAGAGACCAGAGGTCAATTGCTGCTCTTGATGTATTTATTTTAATCTGTGTGGATCAGTGTCTTAGCTGCATGTATATCTGTAACTCATTAATCCGTAATGTCATCTACTATGCTGAATAGAAGTGGCAGAAGCAAGCATCCTGCCCTATCCCTAACCTTAGAGGAAAGGCTTTCCAGGATCTGCTTTTAGATAAAAGCACAAGGAAACTATAGCTCATGCATACAAACAGCCTCCAACACTGGTAGATTTGTCTTTAACATTCTGGTTTCCATTCTAATCTTTTTTGTTTAATTATTTGATAATCCAGATGTTTAAAAAGGAAGTGGTAATACATTTATTTTTGTGTAAAAGTTGAATTTATCACATTCTTCAGTGAAGAATGTTCACTTTGGAGAAAACAATGAATGATTTTTTTCAGCTAGTTAAAAAAGACTTTATGGTTTGGGGGCTGTGGAGATGGCTCATTCAGTTAAAATCCTGCTGTGTCAGGATGAAGACCTGAGTTCAGTCCCCTGCACCAATGTAAAAAGCTGGGAGTGGGGATACATTTACAATCCCTGTGCTGGGGTGCAGGTACCAGTGGATGCTGGAGCTCACTGACTAGCTGTCCTAGCTGAATCAGTGAGCCCCAGTCCCACTGAGAGATCCTGTCTCAAAAATCAAGGTGGAAGGTTCCTAAAGTTGACCTCTGGCCTCTACATGCATGCATGCATGCATGGATACATACATACATACATACATACATATATACATACATGTACATGCATCTGTATACACTTGAACACATACATACACATACAAGCACTTAATGTTTAAAGAAAAATAAAAGTATCTGTCTGTTTTTTTCTCTCTCCTTCCCCTTCATTGTCATCACTGGCCAGACAAGTGATTTAACTCTGAGCTACATTCACCCCCAGCCAAAACTCAAAGGATCATAGAGACTTGTGTATGAGTAGCAGGCTGTTATGGACTGGGTTGTGTCCCCTTTTAACTCCTAATCTGAAGTCCTAAGATCTTTGTATTTAATAATAAGTAGTAAATAATAAGTTAATAGTAAGTTATAGTTAATAATAAGTAGTAAAGTTAAGTGAGGTCAAGACTGTAGGTTTAATGCCTTTATCAGCTCCTGTCCACTCCTCCCTCTCTGCTGTGAGGACAGATAAATCTACCAGCTAG